GGGAATCAATTATATATATTTATTTATTTACGCCTTCCCGTGATCCCCGTGATCATGGGGAATCAATTAGTTAAATATGTATGGACGAAATCCCCGTATATATATATTTATTTATTTACGCCTTCCCGTGATCCCCGTGATCATGGGGAATCAATTATTTAAATATGTATGGACGAAATCCCCGTATATATATATTTATTTATTTACGCCTTCCCGTGATCCCCGTGATCATGGGGAATCAATTATTTAAATATGTATGGACGAAATCCCCGTAATTGCGGGGAATTAATATATATATATATTTAATAACACCTCAAACCTTCATTACTTTATTATATATATATATTTATTTATTTACGCCTTCCCGTGATCCCCGTGATCATGGGGAATCAATTATTTAAATATGTATGGACGAAATCCCCGTAATTGCGGGGAATATATATATATATATATATATATAATAACACCTCAAACCTTCATTACTTTATTATATTGTTCGTCTGCCACCGCCACCACCAGTTATCTCTCTCTGATCCATGTTATACTCAATCTTTTCAATTTCGTTATCTCTGAAAAATTAATATTTTTATTCGCGATATGAAATTCCTATACAAGCGTTCAGTGATATGTTGAGAGTGAAACAGAAGAAAAATAAAATAAAATAATGTGAATCTTTGTAATGTTTTTTTTATATAGATATATTAAAATTATTTGGTGGTTGCAGACAAGAAAGAAATTTATATGGGTGGATTGGATTTATAAAGATGGGATCAAAGAAAATAGAATTTAGTCTATCTAACCTTTGAATTGATATAACAAGAATAAATATATTATTTTTTTACTATATATTAATAATATATTATTATTTTTTGACATATTGACTATCAATATGAAAAATAGTAACGGAAGCGATTAGACTCCACAAACTAAAATTTTGAAATATCAATGACAAAATTGAATGATTTTTATGTTATTACAGTACATGATTTTCATAATAAATAAAACCTTAAAACTATAAAGGATACTAATAGCATAAATAAACCTAATTAATAGCAAAAGAAAACTAAAAATACAAGAAAATTGCCTAAAACTAAAATATCTCTCAAAATTATAAAAATAAAACTAAATAAAAAATCTAATTAAAATATTTTTTAAAATCTGTCCTACATCAATCCCTTCTACTTTAAAAAACCTAGTCGATTAATCATATATTAATATAAATAAAATTTTGTACCACATGGAACATTCCCTTAATGCTTGCCCGGCAACCATGACAACAGCTTTAGGAAAGACTAAGAGCCCATGAATATGTTCGTTGGGTTCAACGACATCAGTTGCATATCCAAAGTATTGATTATGAGTGTGCACCATTGAAGTAAAATCACCAAATCCAAATCATTCTTTTGGTATTTTCCTCTAAAGAATGAATCCCATATCCAATCACAGAACCATGATTCAGAAACAAAGTACTGAACATGCTTAGCTTGCTCAATGAAGTAGTTGTGGCATGGATGTGCACGCTATAAGATAGACCTCGCATGACTTTCAATATGAAAATTATCCTTATTTTTAAGGCTAACTATGCCAACACCCTTAGCATGCGTGACCATTGGCTCAAGCTCTCCTGACTCCCTATCATTTTTGTCCTTCAAGCGTGAGTCTGTGTTACTACTACTTGAATAACAAGTGTTTGCAAGCACCACACTTGATGGCTTAGCATTTTTTTCACTAGATGGCTTAACATTGTCATCATCCTTATCATCAACAATTTAATTTCAAGTCTATCACCTTTTCCAAACCATCAGCCATGTTTTCAATGAGTCTCTGAAGTTGTATCATTGGAAATCTTTTCAGGTGCAACTTTTGAGACCAAAGTATGAACAACTTTATCACCTTTAATGCAAGAGGTTAAACAATAGAATTTTGCTTACCATCAACTTCTTTGAGAATTAACATTTGCTTCTACAAATTCTACAAAATTCTCGTTGTTTTTTTTCTTGTAATTGTTGACACTAGAATACTTTGCATAGGCTGGAAGCCTCCGTAAAGGTACATGAACGTTAATCATATTTTAATTGAAACATCATTTTCTTCAAGATTCTAAGAGATTTCTTTTTATTCATTATTTTCAAGGTATAGTTATTATACTTTACGAGTTGATTTGTCTGAGAGATCTTTCTTAAGATATAAGATTGTAATTTTTAGGAATTTTTAATACTATTTAGTTATAGTTCAAGAAATAATGACTATTATTGATTAATTTCATAATTTTACTAACTGTTAAAGGTGTTTCAAAAGTATGATTTGCCACTGTAAATGTTATGAGCGTTCATGCTGGAGAGCCTTGAAAAATAAATAAAGGATGGAAAAGAGATAATGTTGATAAAGAAATTTTAATTTTATAAATTGGTAAATTGTAAACTAAAAAGGAAAATATTAGATGGTTGAGAGCCTTGAAAAATAGATAAAGGGTGAAAAAAAGATAATGGTGATAAAGAAATCTTAATTTTTTAAATTGGTAAATTATAAACTAAAAAGGAAAAAAAGAAAACGTTGAATTAGAGAGAGAGAGAGTAGGAGGAGGATGAATATTATTTATATTGGATGGCAATTTTGTCATCTAAAATTTATTTTTAAAATGTTTATTAAACTTTTAAGTGTTTTTGACCAAATTATCCTTAAATGGTCACTTAATATCAATTAAGTTTCAAGATTGGTCACTATTCACATTTTCTTGACTTTAAGGTCACTATATAGCAATTATGTTTAATTTTGGTCATCAAAATATAATTTTTCCTATTTTATAAAATCTATATCTTTAAAGATATATATGGAAAAAAATATATAATTAATGCATTCAATTGATGGTGGAATTTCAAGAACTAAAAATTTCAAAGTTCTTAATTATAAATACCACACCGGACAAAAAACCTACAGCATGCAATAATTCTTATAAGTTACTACACAAACCAAAAGATTAGACATGGAGCAAGCTTCTCTCAAGGTGCTTTTCTTGGCCATGCTCTTGGTCACTGCATTTGGTCAGTCTCTCATTTCTCTCTCTCTCTCTCTCTCTCTCACACACAGACAAAGAGACCATATAGAGTAGTATTGGCCTAGTTTAATGTGATGGAATGGGGTAGAATGGAATGACCATTCCACTTTCTCATTCCTTTCACTTATTTGGTGTTCCACTTTTGAAGATGCAAGAAATTCCTTCTCCTCTTTCTCTCTCTAGAATTCTTACACCTCAACCCAAAAGATCCCTCTCCTTTCCATTCCATATCCTATTTATAGATATTTACCAGATATTTACAAGATATTTTCAAGATATTTACTGATTGCTGGATCTGGGCCTATTCCTCCATAAGCCCTGGTCACCTTTGATGGGCTTATTCCCGTTCGGCCCATATGGCAGTGTCTTTATATGGGCCGACCCAGCTATACGAACTGAATGTTGTGTTTGCGAGTCGGATCCGGCCCATGTCGTCCTGGGCCTCCTCAACTGCCCCCATAATTGCCCCTTATTTAATAAGGGGTAATTATTGATGGCGTCTCATCATGATGTTGACGGCTCGAGATAACCACGTGGGGGAGCGGACGGTCAGATCCAGAATCAATGTTCCGGGGCTCGAGGAATTTCTCGCCTTCCCGACGCTTCGGCCCTCGGGCCCCCTCGCCTTTATAATGCTCTAGAATTCCACTTCACTTCCCTTTACCGTCTCCATTATCAGCCAAGTCTCTCTCTTTCTAGAACAGTGCTAAGCTTTTTCTGGTGAAATCCTTCAAGAGTCATTCTTCCAGCGATCTTGCAGTCCTCCGAAGTTAGTTTCGTTCTTTTTACTTTCGGCAGGCTTCCATTTACCCCCTTTTAGATTCTTCTAGCACTTCCACCATGGTTGTAGATCTGGATGTTCTTCGTATGAGACTTAGACTTCCTGATAACATCGAAGTTAGGGTTTGCCCCCAGGATGTTAACATTATGACCGGCGCCGGCCTCCTGCCCGGCGAAGTCTTATTCACGAACCTTCAATTGAATGTTGTTAGGTTCCCTCTGCACCCTTTCTTTAGTTATGTCTTCAATAGATTGGGGATATCCCCTCTGCAGGTCAACCCCAACTTCTTTAGAATCATATCTGTTATGCTCTTGTTGATGCGTGACAGAAATTTGGACCTCGACCTCATAGACCTCCTTCTGTGCTATAAGGTCAGTAAGATCCGTACTAACAAACCCTTCTACCACCTCTACCCGTTCGAGAAGATGTCCATATGTACGGACACAATAAAATCTGAGAAGGGTTGGAGGGATAGCATAGTGGGCATTAGTGGGGCTTGGTCTTCGCCGGCTGCAGAGGATTACCCAATCCCGAGCGCCTTTGGTGTCTGTTCTGTCTCCTCCTATAAGAAATTCAAATCTCATAAACATGACTGCCCCTGCGAAACATGCGTTCCTCGTTTTTGCACTTTCTTATGCCGTTCCTTGGGAATACCTTGTGATGACTTGAGCTATAGTGTTTGCAGGGATAGGAGTAACTACTTGAAGAAATACGTTCTGAACGATATTCCTTCCTGCTCAGATCTCCTCACTTCAGACAACCTCTTAGCGCTCTCATCACTCGGCTACAACATGAGCAGACTTCAGATTCCTTCTTTTGGCAGGAAGAAAAATACTCCCCCAGCCACTCCTGCTACTGGGGCGACCTCCTTTCCAGCGTCAGCTTCTTCCTCAGCCACCATATCTGACACTGCCCCGAGCGCAGTGGTTGTTAACCCTGTTGCCAGCGCCCCTGCTGCCAACCAGAACGCGTCCCCCCCAGCTACCATAGCTCCTGCTGCTGCGGGGGGCGGTTGGGACAAAGAACGAGGCAAAAGGCCTCATCCTGATAGTGAAGTCGATCCTGAGGAGGAGCCTCTCATTAGAAGGACCCGGGTCTCCGGGCCGGGTGCTCTCTTGCACCGAGCGGTCAGAGCTCCTGCTCCCTCTGGGCCTGCTGCAGCTGGTGGCTCTGTTTCTGCTTCAGGCCCCTCTTCTATCCCCACCTTACCGCCATGGGCCCCTCGGTACACCCGAACGGATGGGACGTTCGTGAAACCGAACGAGACCATGCTGAAGGATGGCCAGACCGCTATGGCCTACTACAGGAGCATGTGGACTCCGAAGGACCTTGAGGCGGCAAAGGGCCTTTCCCAGAAGGATGTGTTCAGCCGCTTTCCCCAATCTGCTATGGAGGTGACTTTTATTTTCTAACTCATGCATTCTCTCATATTATTTGGTCTTGCCTTCGCCCGACCTGACTATTGGCTTAACCGTTTTTAATGTGCACCTATGCAGACATTGTTCGGAATGATGGCCATGCAGAAGCAGGTGGAGATGGGGAACGCCAGGGCCCGTAAGTTTTCTGACAGCCTGGAGGTGGCTAATAAAGAAAACGACCTCCTCGCCATGAAGAATACCGAGGTACTGGCTCGGCTTGACAAAACCGAGCAAGAGAGAAATGTCCTGAAGAAGGAGAATGATTCCCTTCAGGATGAGAAGGACGCCCTCCAGCTTGAGAAGAGCGTCTGGCAGACCGAGCGGGAATCAATTAGAGAAGAGAAGGCAGAACTCCAGCGCCTTCTAGCTGATGAACAGTCTGCTCGGATGGCTTTTGAAAAAAGAGCTCTGGACGAGCGTACCGCTCTGATCGACGCGATCAGCAGAGTGGGTGGTGGGATGCTGGCCCTTCACGCTCGGTTCTCAAGGGTCGGTGCTCTTAGGTATGCTCAAGGATTCCGGGAGGGTTTCGCCGACCGGGTTCCGGATGAGGGACAGACCAGCTCCACTCCGGATGAGGTAGACAAGGACCTGGGGATCGAACCTCTGGGGGTCTATGTCGACCCAGAACCCACCGAAGCGGAGCGTATATTTGATGAGTGCCAGGACATTGCTTCCTCCAGGATCATCACAGCTCCTCCTACCGCTCTGCCACTGACCGCTCCTCAATCGTCAACCGTGGTTCCTTCCATAGCCACTGCTGACGCTGAACCCCAGCCGAACGATTCAGTCATTCACCTTGATTCCCCACCTCATGAAGGTGAGACGGCTGTTGGGGCCGAGGAGGCGAGTCGGCACGACCAGGATGCTGTTGGTACTGAGGCGTCTAGCTAGGGCTCCTTTGAATTCTTGCATTCCATATCTTTTTGTAATGATGGACATCTCTCTTTTGTAAACTCAATGCTCAATATTAATGAAACGACAGAACTCTTTTTCCCTATGTGTTGTGCTCTATTCAACTTATCTTCAATACATACATATCTCTTCTCTCTTTTTCTTTTCTATTAGCTTTGCCGTGTGTTTGTTTATGGCAAGTGCCTGGCGCTCGGCTAGGATGCCACTTGCCACTTGGCTTTAAGTCTTTAGCAAGTGTCTGGCGTTCGGCTTATAGTGCCAGCTGCCACTTATCTTGCTTAAGTGCCTGGCGCTCGGCTAGGATGCCACTTGCCACTTGGCTTTAAGTTTTTAGCAAGTGTCTGGCGTTCGGCTTATAGTGCCAGCTGCCACTTATCTTGCTTAAGTGCCTGGCGCTCGGCTAGGATGCCACTTGCCACTTGGCTTTAAGTTTTTAGCAAGTGTCTGGCGTTCGGCTTATAGTGCCAGCTGCCACTTATCTTACTTAAGTGCCTGGCGCTCGGCTAGGATGTCACTTGCCACTTGGCTTTAAGTTCTTAGCAAGTGTCTGGCGTTCGGCTTATAGTGCCAGCTGCCACTTATCTTGCTTAAGTGCCTGGCGCTCGGCTAGAATGCCACTTGCCACTTGGCTTTAAGTTCTTAGCAAGTGTCTGGCGTTCGGCTTATAGTGCCAGCTGCCACTTATCTTGCTTAAGTGCCTGGCGCTCGGCTAGAATGCCACTTGCCACTTGGCTTTAAGTTTTTAGCAAGTGTCTGGCGTTCGGCTTATAGTGCCAGCTGCCACTTATCTTGCTTAAGTGCCTGGCGCTCGGCTAGAATGCCACTTGCCACTTGGCTTTAAGTCTTTAGCAAGTGTCTGGCGTTCGGCTTATAGTGCCAGCTGCCACTTATCTTGCTTAAGTGCCTGGCGCTCGGCTAGAATGCCACTTGCCACTTGGCTTTAAGTTTTTATAGTAGACCGTTGGAAAAGAAAATTCTTTTTTTGTAAATTTCAGTAACTTGCTCATTCATATGTATTTGATTGACAACAAACAACATCCAATTGAAGCCGGAACTTAGCTTTTATTGGTAGTACCTCTTCAGAGACGTGGCGTTCCAGGGCTTGCTGACCAACCTTCCCACCATGGTTTCCAACGTATATGCCCCCTTGCCAATGACTTCTGCAATTCTGTATGGGCCTTCCCAGGGTGGCATCATTTTTTTGACCATCCCCACCTTTCTTTTCAGAACCAGATCGCCAGGGGCAAAATCCCTGTGTTTTACTCTCTTGTTGTGACTATTCGCCAGCACTTGCTGATACGATGCTAGCCTTATAGCCGCTGCGTCCCTCCTTTCGTCTATCATATCGAGGTTCAATCTTAACATCTTGTCGTTCTGATCTCGACTCCATGCTAAGCTTCTGATAGTGGGGACTAAATGCTCAACCGGTATAACTGCCTCGGTGCCATACGCCATTGCGAACGGGCTCTCCCCAGTCGGCCGCCTTGGGGTGGTTCTGTAAGCCCATAGAACGTTCGGGAGTTCATCCAACCACTTCCCCTTATGATCTTCCAGCTTCTTCTTAATGCAGGCGAAAATGGTTCTGTTTGTGATTTCTGCTTGTCCGTTGGCCTGAGGATGACTTACTGCAGCCAACTTCTGGTTGATTCCATACTCCTCCAGCAGCTTTCTTACTTGCCTGCTGTCGAGGTTTGTGCCATTGTCCATGACTATTGATCTGGGAACACCGAAACGGTAGATAATATTGTTCCAAATAAATCGTCTCACATGAGTCTGAGTCACGCTAGGATACGGTTCTGCCTCCACCCATTTAGTGAAGTAATCCGTGGCCAGTAACACATACTTGTTCTGAGCTCTTGCAGTTGGCAGAGGACCGACCACATCCATCCCCCATTGCGCGAAAGGCTATGGCGAGGCCATTACGTGCAATTCTTCAGGTGGTTGGTGGATCAATGGTCCATATCGTTGGCATTTATCGCACCTTCGAGAGAACTCCTCCGCATCTCTTGACATGTTTGGCCAGAAATACCCTTGTGTCATTGCTTTATGCGCTAACGATCGCCCCCCAGAATGATTGCCACACACACCCTCATGAATAGCTCGCAATACCTGCTGCGATTCCGCGGGGGTGACACATTTCAAGTATGGGCCAGAGTAGGACCTTCTGTACAGCTGGTTCCGCACGATGGCGTACTTGGCAGCATTCTTTTTGAGTCTCCTAGCTTCATCCCTTTGCATAGGCAAAACGCCATCTCGAATATAGGTAATGATGGGGTCAATCCAACTCGGTTCATACGGTATGACGTTGACTTGCCAAGGGTCAGAGTCCAACGGTTCTTCGAAAATAGAGGGCTGGGTCACTATTCCTACTGGAATCACCCTCGCCAATGTTTCACCGCAACTCGAAGCACTGCATGCTAAACGGTCTGCATCTGCATTCTGTTCCCTCGGGAGCTGTATGAATTCGATCTTTGCGAAGTCCTTGGCTCTATGCAGAACGGCAGAACGATATGCCCCCATCGTGTCATCTTTGGTCGCGTACTCACCATTTACCTGTCGAACAATCAGCTGCGAGTCACTATACACTGTCAAACTTTTGATCTGTAGCTCTCTGGCCAACTTTAATCCATTTAGCAACGCCTCGTATTCCGCTTCATTATTGGTGGCTCGGAATTCAAGTCTGAGTGCTTGGCTCAAGGAAGTACCCTCTGGGGTTTGCAGTTTGATCCCAATCCCAGCCCCCATCTGGTTAGAGGAGCCATCCACAAAAAGTTTCCAAGAGCCGCATCTAAGGTCCTCTTCCGTATCTTTGGTGTCACATTCTAGTAGGAAATCGGCTACCGCTTGCCCCTTAACAGCTGTTCTCGGCTCATACGTTATGTCAAATGAACTCAACTCTATGGCCCACTTTGTCATTCTGCCCGAGAGCTCTGGCTTGTGCATAAGCGTTCTGATTGGGAAAGTTGTTAGAACAGCTATGGGGTGGGATTCGAAATAATGCCTCAACTTTCTTTTTGCATTTACAAGGGCAAGTACCACCCGTTCGGCCTTTGAGTATCTTCTTTCTGCCTCCGTCAGTGTTTTGCTTACATAAAATACCGGGTATTGCACCCCTTCCTTGCAACGAATCAGAACGGCACTCGTCGCGACACCAGATACTCCAAGATATAGAAATAACTTTTCTTCCGGTTCTGGGGCTGACAGGACTGGTGGATTCTGCATATATTCCTTCAAATGAGTCAATGCTTGTCGTTGCTCATCCCCCCAGACCTGCCTTCCATGGTTCCGAATCGTGTCAAAGAATGGTTTGCAGTGATCTGACAATTTTGAAATAAATCGACTTAATGCAGCTACTCGTCCTGTGAGGGCTTGCACCTCTCTGATCGTCTTTGGCTCGGCATTCTTAATCAAAGCCTCTGCTTGAGCGGGGCTAACTTCGATGCCCCTGCGGTTGACCACGTGTCCCAGAAACTGTCCGGAACTCACACCGAACGAGCACTTGGTCGGATTGAGCCTCATCCCATATCGCTTTAGTACATCAAATACATCTTGCAGATGCTTCAGATGATCATCCTTTTTCCTACTCTTTACCACCATATCATCAATATAGGCTTCCACAATCTTACCCATTTGATTCTTAAAAACTTTGCTAACAAGTCTTTGATAAGTTGCTCCCGCATTCTTTAGCCCGAAAGGCATAACTTTGTAGCAGTATGTTCCTCGCTCGGTGACAAAAGAAGTTTTTTCTTCATCTGCGGGGTCCATAGGAATCTGATTATAACCTGAATATGCGTCCAGAAAGGTTAAACGCTCATACCCAGTGGTGGCATCCACCATTTGATCAATCTTAGGCAACGGGAAGCTGTCCTTCGGACAGGCTTTGTTCAAATTGGTGAAATCAATGCATACTCGCCATTTCCCATTCTTCTTCTGCACAACAACGACGTTGGACAACCACTCAGGGTAGTGCACCTCTCTGATAAATCCCGCATCAAGCAGCCTATCGACTTCTTCCGCTATGATCTGATTACGTTCTGGAGCAAATCTTCGCTGCTTCTGTTTCACTGGTTTGAAATTGGGATTGACATTCAGGGAATGACAGGATACGGAGGGACTAATTCCAGGCATGTCTAGGTGACTCCATGCAAATACGTCGGCATTGCGGGATAAGAAATCCACTAGCTCTTGCTGCTCTTCTCTGGTCAGTCTTATACCTACTCTGGTAGTTCGTTCTGGCCTGGACTGATCGATCTGCACATCCAGAAGGGGCTCCTCGGTCAATTCGACTGACTCCTCCACCCTATTCTGCTCGAGCGGAGGTTCCTGTAATTGCTATCTGGGGCTTGCCGAACGAACGGGCGCCTTTCCTTTCCCAGCATGCTTTAGTGTGACGGAATAACACTCCTTGGCTGCGACCTGATCCCCCCGAATGTCTATCACTTTATCTCCATCGGGCCCGAGGCACCTCATGACCTGATGCAGAGTTGAGGGTACACCTCGGACTCTGTGAATCCATCCTCTTCCCATCAGGAGATTATACGAGGGGTGAATTTCCACAACCACAAAAGTTTCCATAAGAGCTCGTTCTGCAGCTTGAACTTCCACTTCCACCATCCCGACGGGTTCCACCCTCTTCCCATCGAACCCTAACAAGGGATTTTCGGTGGGCTTGAGTCTCTCTGGTTTAATGTCGAGCCTGTCAAATGTGTCCCTCGGCATGACATTCGCACTGCTCCCAGGATCGATCAGAACTCTGCGCACCAAGCAATCTGCCACTGTCAAACTGACTACCAACGGGTCGTCATGAGGCAGTTGAACACGCTGCAGGTCTGTCCAGTCGAACTTTATCTGCATCGACGGGCTCTGTTGGTGTAGAGTAGTCACATTGCCGACCCTTTTCTTCATCTGCGCCTGCCGCAGGCGCACCCGGAGCAGCTCATCTGACTCTTCACTAGGCTCGGGTCGACCATGGATAGCATTGATTATACGAACTGGTTGTGAATTGTGGGAGCTTTGTTTATGACTCCTTTTTATTTGTTCCACCGGTCGATTCTGCTCCATCGCCGAACCTTGAACATAACTCGCGAACTCCCCTCTAGCTATCAACATCTCCACTTGCCTCCTCAGGTTCCTGCATTCGTTAGTCTGATGACCGAAATCAGAATGAAAAGCACAATGTTTAGTTTGATCCCTCTGTTCGAGGGGTTGCCTAATTGGCAGTGGTGGATGAAACTTGTCTTTGTTCTCCTGATACAGCCTCGCCAGAGTGACCTTCAGCGGAGTAATCAACTCTTCCTCCCTGGACCTTTTTTCTGCCTTCCAAGAGGTCTGACGCTGCGGCTGAGCCTGCTTCTGCCTGATCTTTGCCTTGGACTTTTCCTCGGTCGACACAAGCGACGTTGTCCGAGCATTAGCTGCCTCCTCTTCTTCTAGGCGCACAAAGCCATCGGCTCTCTCATTGAGTTCATCCATAGTAGTCGGCGTGTTCACTACCAGACTGGTGTGAAACGGAGTTCCGCGTGTCATGGCTAACTTGAAGGCTTGAACTGCCGTAGAAGGGTGGCATTCGATCACCATACTCTTAGTGAGATTAAACCTGGTAAGAAAGGCCTGGAGACGTTCATCCTTGTGCTGCCTCATCGTGAATAGGCTCGAGATGTCCTTCGGCGGGCGTTTGTTCCCATAGTACTGGCTTATGAACCGATCGCACAGGTCTTTGAAACTACCAATGGAGCTCCTAGGCAAGTTTTTGAACCAGCTGAGCGCCGGTCCGGCCAGGCTTGTAGGGAAACATTTGCACATTAAAGAGTCGTTTTCCGTATTCAGGGCCATTTTCAACTGGATATGATACACATGATCGATCGGATCGGTCGTTCCGTCGAACAGAATAAAGACTGGCATAGCAAACTTCCTTGGATGCGGGGCATTCAAGATCTCGTCGGTGAATGGTGAATCCACCGTCCGAGCTGCGGATCGGAGAGCTTCATTCTCTCTCTGGAGTCCAGCGGTAGCTCTGTGAGTTACGGTTCTGCCCTCCGAACCGTGATGAGTGATAGTAACCATGGAGGGCCGGTAAGACGGATCGAACGACCGTTCCTCTATGAACTCTCTTTGCCAAGGCGACGCTATTCGACGGCGATCAGCCTCCATCACTTCCTCTCGGTCGAACCTTTCCCGCTGCGGAACAACGTGAGTCGATCCCTCGTGATCTTCAACTCGATGAACATTTGGCGGCAAATTGTCCATCATCCTTTCATCACGGTGGTGAGCTGACTGATTGTTCTCGTCCTGTTCGCCTTGATGCGCGATATTAGATTGAACACCTCCTTCTCCGACTGGAAGTGGATGCGAAACCGCAGGTATTTGCCGATGTTGCAGTCCAGCTTTCAATTCTGCATTCTCTTTTTTGAGAGCTTCAATCAAGTTCATCAACTCCTCAAGCTTTGTTTGCTGGACAGTCTCCATCGGATTGGAGCTTTCACCTATCATTATTCCCGAACGGAGTAAAGGCATTAATCTCAAGTTCGCGAGTAGATCCGAGCTTCGTGAGTAGGAATTTTTAGATCTGGCTTCTAATTCTCCGAATTATGCTCACTGTTTTCGAGATCTGAATTGTCTGAACTCTAAATCTGTCAGATCCTGCCACAATCGAACAACTCGCTGTTGCGTAGATCTGAAGTCACTCCTGCCAAAGCTTCAAGAATTGTAATTCCTCCAGAGTAGGTCACAATCGCTCAGATCTGGATTCAAATCCCAAAGATCGAGTCTCGATCAACCGAATTGGTTTGAATCCATTCGATATTCCTCATTGATCAACCAAACTTCCATGCGTTTCCCACAGACGGCGCCAATTGAAGATGCAAGAAATTCCTTCTCCTCTTTCTCTCTCTAGAATTCTTACACCTCAACCCAAAAGATCCCTCTCCTTTCCATTCCATATCCTATTTATAGATATTTACCAGATATTTACAAGATATTTTCAAGATATTTACTGATTGCTGGATCTGGGCCTATTCCTCCATAAGCCCTGGTCACCTTTGATGGGCTTATTCCCGTTCGGCCCATATGGCAGTGTCTTTATATGGGCCGACCCAGCTATACGAACTGAATGTTGTGTTTGCGAGTCGGATCCGGCCCATGTCGTCCGAGGCCTCCTCAACTTTAAAAGTGGAATGGCCATTCTCTTGGAATGCTCATTCTAACTTTTAAATGGAATGACCATTCCTCTTTTGGACTTGTGGAATGATCATTCCATTTCCACTAAATTAAAATAATAAAATACAAAGACCAAAAAAACCCATACGCATTATTTTTTACAGATCTGGCAGACTCTATCTCCATCTCTCCTCTCATTACGCATTGTACACCCTCTCTCTCTCCTTTTTCTCTCTTCACACGTCACTATATACCATGGAATATATATATATATCTCCCTCTCTGATTCAAAGGATGCAATTGTTGAAGATTTTGTTATTAAAACTTTCAAAGAACGTTGCCGGAGAAGATGATCGAAAAATTCGTCGGGCGGGTGAGATCTAAGGTTGTTCTCTGGCGACGCCTCTCCTCTGTTCGATCACCTTCCAATTCGTCTTTATCTCGGGAATCTAGTTGAGAAATTCCGTAATATGGAACACTTTCCAGACGACGATGATGCTGACAATGTTGAAATTGATGGTGATGTTGGAGAGAGTTTGGGGCTAGAGATCAATTGAACAAGAGGAAGACAATCCATAACCACTCTTTCCTAGTTTCATGTTTGGTAAGACGTCTCTGATGATTGGGCAAAGAAGCAAGACGAACTAGAGCCCTAATTTGCCAAGTCTTCAACCTCATCCTTCCTTTTCAATTCTTTTTTCTCATCTATTTTCTCTCTCTATCTCATCTATTTTCTCTTTTTATTTTTACATATGTTAATTTTTTAGTTAATTATATTTTACTAATAATAAAATATACTTTCAAGAAACAAAATAATTCATTATATTCCAACTTTCTTATCAAATAGTGGAATAAGAATGAACATTCTATTTTTACATATTCCATGTTTGTAACCAAACGATAAAATAAGAATTATCATTCCCATTCCATTCTATTTCCACCTCCATTTCAATTCATTCCACAAGACCAAACTAGCCCTTTGTGTGACATGAAGGTGACTAATTTGAAAGACTGTATGATAGGTTTGGCACTCTCACTTGTCCCTGGAACTGAAGAAGGAGTATCAGAGCGATGGAGGCATAATGAATGGGTTGTGAAAAACATCAATAATCAGAAACTGAAGTACGCTGCTTCTACCAAAATTAATGCTGGCAACGGCCCTTGCTCCAAGAATGGTGATTGTCCTACGTGTCCTAACCCTTGCATCACCGTCTGCGGTGCTGATCACAAATGCCACTGTAAAAATTGTAGCTGAATGGAAACATGCTGAGCTAATAAAGTTATTATGGAATAAAGTTTTTATTGACAATGTCTGACAATTGAGGAAATAAATTTGATTTGCAGCGCATACCAACTCACGCACATAGATATGAATTTATTTCAGTGGGACATATTGAACATGAATATTATTATTATTATTATTATTATTATTATTATTTCATTTGACATAAAATGGAAAATAGCAAGCCAAAAATATAGAAGTGCAGTAACGGTGCAGTAGTCAATATTCAAATATTGTGCCATTATTAGCAAAAATAGGCAGTAAAAAATTATATATATAAAAAAAAAAGGGTTAGTGCTCATACACATCATAAATGAGTGCAAGAATAAGAAATTTTAAGAAGAGAAAAACACAAAACAAAAGAAGAAGAATAAAATAAATAAAAAAGAAAAGAAAAATGAGAGAACTTTGAATAGTAAATTTAGTGTTTGATTACCATTCAGAAAAATAAAAAAAAAAAGGTTTGACTAAAGAAGGGGAATGGATTTTTTATTTTTATTTTTGAAATGGAGTAGGTGAAATTTTTGGAGAATCAAAATCCCACAAGCTCGGAATCAGGTGGAGTTTTAGCAATTAATAACTAATAAATTTGAAACACATAACTCCAAAAAAGAAATATATATTGCAATTAACTAGTGAAAAAAAAAAATGTAGAAGATAAATAAATATTGAATAAAAAATAAAAATCAAATAAATAAATAATAAAATAAAAACCAAAAAACTAAATAAATACTTATTTTGTCAGATAGGTCCACTTTTCTTATTATAATTTTTTAAAGAATACGCAATTAATGCATTGTTTTCTTTTAAAATTTCTTACTTTATATATATATATATATATATATTAATTTGAAAAATCCCTAAAAAGAAAAGATATTACTACCCTGAGACGGAATAAAAATAAAAATAAAAACATACCATCAATGAATGCAATTCAAATTTCAATTGATACTAGTCTGTGGAGAACTAAAATCATTCACGTTCTCAACTATAAATACCACATAACAAAGAACAGCCCATATACATATTATAAGCAACAACACAGACCAATTCAAAAGATCAGACATGGAGCAGACTTCTCTCAAGGTGCTTTTCTTGGCCATGCTCTTGGCCACTGCATCTGGTTCACACACCCACACACACAAAGAGCTTATATAGTGGTACACTTTGTGCGACATGAAGGTGACTAATAAAATACTGTTTGATAGGTTTGGCGCTCTCAGCTGTGTCACTTGAAGAAGGGGTAGCACAGCAATGGGACCAAAATGAATCGGTTGTCAAAAACATGGATAATCAGAAACCAAATTATCGTCTTAAGCAAATTATTTCTCACCCGAACTTGTGCTCCACTTTCAAAGATTGTAATAACCAGCCATGTCCTTACCGTTGCACCATTCGATGTGTTTATAAGGAATGCAAATGTTATTGCTGAACGGAAAAAAAGCTTCAAGTTTATTATGGAATAAAGTTGCATAGACAATAAGGGCTTTTTGATTCTAACTCTAAAAACAGTTTTCAAGAATTTAGAGAATAGAAAGACCGTTTTCTAAAAACAATTTTTTGTTTTCAGAAGACTTACAAATCAAGCAGGCTCTAATTTTTTAAAAGTAATTTTTGTAATTTGCATAGATGGGTGGTATCCATGTATACCATGGGCATCATAATGTCTTTTGCTTGTGTGTTTTGGAATTTAATTAAAAATTTTCCCAAGAATATATTGTTTTTTCCTAGTTATAATGTTGTGGAGTATAAATTTTTTTTTTATTTAGAAAACTCTATTTATGGTAATAAATTATAATCATTAGTTGTGATTTATTTTCCTCTATTTTATGGAAAACTAAAGCTGCCCTACCCAAATTTATTAAAATTTTCTGTTTATAGTTACCTTGTGGTTTGGAAATGAATTTATGTGTAACCCCTTCACTAATGAACCTTTTCCTTTAAAAAAAAAAAAAAAAAAAAAACAAATTTATTGCAAAGGAAAATTCTTAATTATTATTGTAATCCTTGTTACAATATTCTCTATATGGTCATGTATGTGTGTGTGTGTGTATATATATTTACACTAAAGAGAGAAAAAATTTCTTGACACTTACAAACTCAATGGTTCTTCTCTCCATTTTTTTCTTCTCATATCATTTAGAGACATATTCTTAACAATATACATTTAAAATGCACTACAAAGAAAGAAAATATTTACAATTATTTATTTATTTATTTTAAATTACTAATTTGGCCCCCTAAATAAAATATTTTTGATTCCGCCATAGAGTGAACCAAAAACAAAACAAAACTCTAATCAGCATTGTAACGTTGCAAATGACAATAGTAAATAACATAAAATGTCAAATCTGATACACGAGACTCCCAAATTCAACATAAAAACATTTACGTTTAATATTAATTATACACTACAATGATTGAATGACTCATAATAAAAATTAAAAACATTTATCTGGTAAATAAAAAGGAAATATTTAATTTCTTACCCAAAATTAAATACAATGACAACAATTAAGTTTTTTCTAATTATTTGAAATCCTTTACATGAATTCTGTATTGGTCATGAGTCCCAGGCAAGGACTCAATTAAGGATTAGTGGGGCAGGCATCCCCTCTAGAATATTTTTTATTTACATTATCAGGTATAATTTTTGTCAAAAGTTTAAAAATGGCCCCACTCAATATTACACTTTACATTCTTGCACCTATTGATTTTTTTTTTTAATCCAAAATATAATTGTCTATCCTTTTTACTCTCTAGTCTCTGCTGCCCCAACATTTGTGATAATCAATTTCCTCTTATACACTCTCATATGCTCACTCAATTTTTGAAAATACCCACTAATCATGCATCCATTGATATTTGCATTAAAAAAGAAACTAAAGTATATCGGCTCTCTAGTTGGATAGAATTAAAAGGTTTGTTAAAAAAAATTTCACACCGATACAAATTGGACATGGTCTGACACATGCCAGATAAGCACAAAAAATTAAATTATCATATTTATTATTTCTTTCTAAAAGTATTTATCTCCAAAAAAAAAATTTTTTTTTAAAATTTCTGGGTCATGACAAAATTTTATGTTCAATGTCAAGTTTTTTTTATTTATTTTATTATTATTATTTTTTAGTTAAAAGTATATTAAAATATGTATAAATGTACAAGCACCTACACCTTAACCATTGGACAGGACCAAAGGAAAGAAGAGAGCCGAGCCTCTAAATGTCTCAGGAAAAAGACCCAAGACAGGTGCAGGCTAGGCCCAACGAAATAAACATTGATTACAGCTCCGACGGTAACACATGAGGTATGACTTGGAGGCTCTGGAGACATTGATAGACTCATAAACTTTTGTGAGAAGGGCAGACTTTTAATTTGTTGGGGATAAACGTACATGGTGAATCCATTTTTTATAATTTCAATTGGGTTTTTTTTTTTTTTTTTTTTTTTTATAAATTTTCAAAAATGTAAAGTATAAAATACAAACAAAAAAAAAAAAAAAATTAGTGGGTCCGAATTGTAATTTTAGTAGGGGAATTTTCATAAATTCTTAAAAATTTAAAGGATAAAATGAAAAAAAAAAATAGAATCCAGTAGGGGCAAATTATAATTTTAGTAGAGACATTTTCATAAATTTTTAAAAATTAAGGTGTAAAATAAAAATATAAAAAATTCAGTGAGAGCATCCATGCCCGTTGGGTCCGTGCCTAATGAAGCTCTATGGCAAGCCTCGTTCCCATGAGACATGTCGAGCTAGCTAGCGTTGGAGTCCCTCACTCGCATAGAAGCCAGTTTATTCCTAATCAAATTAGTAATGCAATTCAGCATAGCCTTCTGATCGAGTTGAGTTCGTTGCCCTAAAAGCTCTCTAGTTGCGCTCCATCCAAATCCGATTTAGTGTCGTGGATATTGCAGGCTTGTTAGTTGAATTCTGGAGTGATTTAGCTTGCCAGTGGTATAAGCCATAAGGCCCAAGTAATGAATTGATCCCATGTATCTGGCCAAATGTGAAATGCATGACACGGTGTCAAGTTACCTGACACAATCCTCCTCTTTTATTCGAACTTGAGATCCGCGGTGTATAGAACCCGTCTGTATCTTTACACTTGCTACCCAAAAATAAATATTCTTTGGCTACTTGAAAACTATACTATATATTCCGAAGGACAAATTATTAATTTTGAGTGCATTAAAAATATATTGGAATGATCTCTTCCTCATAGGAAGAGATCCATCCACACCTTGCATAATGATCGTAGGATGTAATTGTTATGTTATTTTTGTAACTACCTTTTAAATATCTAATTGTTACTCTTTATGGTGCGGATGATGTGTAAGAGATGGTTGCTCTAAAAATATATACAATATGTTGTGTACTTATAATTATAAAAAAATGAACCTAATTTTCTTTTTATCCTTTAGAATTCTAACCGAATAAAAGTTATGATTTGTAGTGGTAGAGTTAAAAGTCTATAAAAAATAATCTTTTATGCTTCTTGGATGCTTAAATTGAATAGGAAATTATTTAATAAATTATAGAGAAAAGGAAAAAATAAAATTATAAAAATAAAATTTAGTAGATATATCATATTTTAGTTTTTTTATTTTCCAAATTTATTTTAAATCTTATTTAATACTATATTTAGTAGGCATTTCCAAGAGGTGTAACTATTGGTCCATTCAAATTGTTGGGCTAAAAACCAAATCCTACATACTTTTAATATACAATATGTAGATAAATTTATTTTCAAATATTATTCTCATTTTATTCAATATATATATATATATATATTTGTTTGTACGTAACAAGAATCAATCATTAGAAGTGACACAACATAAGACACCAGAGTTCAAGTCTTTTCCAACTAGGACAACACAGTGATGTTCGGTTCAATATTAAATTTAGTGGATAATTGGTTAGTGTGCAGATCCAGGAGTTGTAAAAATGCCAATAAAATGTTTCTACAAGA